TGCACTACAACAGCGAACGAAGACAACGAAGGAACACGGACACAAGATAAGTAAACAAGTATATAACGTTAATTTAATTCAAATAATCGAAAGGGTAAAAAACCTATAGAAATCCAACCACATTCGGTGTCCTAGTGCCCTTGATCAGACAATATCCAACCTGAATTGGAACTTACAGTATCTGGTCAATTCTTTCTCTTGCCACTTATTTTGACCAGCAAAATTGAACAAGTGAGAAATGAGGTAAAACTATTTTGGTTCGTCATGATGGCTGGTGACTGACTCACCATTATCTTAATCCCTGAGGGTATCTGGTTGACCAGATAGTGGCTTGGTAATTAGTTTGACAAGATGATGTCTGGCTTGTCTGACCCAATTCATGTTTACATGAAAAATGCCATTTTAAATACAAACATATTTTCAGCTTAACATAATAATACCGTAAATTAATGGAAATGCTCATTTATTGATAATTACTTTTATTTGCAGTTGTAACAATTTATGCTACTCTAGGAGATGAAGCTGTAGCACATGGCATCAATGAAACAGAAGTAAAATTCGTCATAGCAGATGCAGAACTCTTACCAAAGCTAGCTGCTGTGGCTCATAAATTAACTAACCTGGATTATATAGTTTACATTGGTGAACTTAGCAAGAATGCAACACTTGATTTCCCCAAAAATATTAAGATGATTTCCATGACAGATGTAGAGGAATTGGGATCCAGAACTGAAAATAGTAAGTCATATTCTATGCATTTGTCTTGCCTAATAATGAGAGAACAGCATTGTAAATGTGCATGGCTATAGATTTTGCTACCATTTTCATTTTGTTCAAAAATTCTGCTCTAGAATTAATTGGCCATGGACTTCTTTCAAGCAAATAAATCATAAGTTGGAGTAATTATGGGTACATAGGAATTGTAGACTAATAATTTTTTTCAATGGACTACTTCGACGATACAGTGGCCATTTTGCAAGGGGGCAAAACAAAAGAAAGATGACGAAAGATATATAGAGTTTCGTGTGTTTGTCTTTCTTTTATGGGTAAAGGTGATCAATGTGTCCTCTTAGAGTTGTTAATATGGATCAACATCATCACTGTAACAAAGCTGGATTTGCTCCCTGGATGCCCCATAATGCATATATCTGTGAAAAACTTTTTAAGAAATTGCACAAATTTGTAAGAAATAGAAAGTTTATTAGACCTTCATAGACTGTAGACCTACAAAACTTTGCACTATTTTTTACAGTTTTGTTATTTAACTTTTTCATGGATATATGCTATGCACTCTATGCTCTTTATGCAATCATACAATTTATTTAGTAAAAATATGCAGGTGATTATAGAGAATCTTGCGTGCTGATTGGTCAAGAAACTCACACTATCACATGATAATCACCTCGAGCTAAAATCAAAAATGGCAGCCAGCCGCTATGTTGCTGTTACCGGRAAAAAATGCCTTTATCTTCTTTTTTTTTCTTTCTTTGAAAGAATCACCTGTGTATTTATACTAAAACAATTATTTGCCTCAGGCTCAGTGATTATTGGGGAATATTTACCCAATTACCTCGAAGACTCGCATCTCGGTAAATATTCCCCGATAATCACTTCGCCTTTGGCGAATAATTGTTAAATAAATTAAACATGTATGCGCTATGCTGGTATTGTATGTTTGATGGTGTGACCTATAGTTGACCTAAAGGAGATTACTAAGTCTTAAAGAAAATCTCAATTTGATAGGAATATATTTTTATCATTTATATCATGTCCTTTTTTCAATAACAGTTATACAAAGTAAAGTCTCTCCACGACCAGAAGACACAGCAGTTATCATGTATACCAGTGGTTCAACAGGATTACCTAAAGGTAGAGAATACAGTATGGTTTTTTGATCCATCACTCTGCTCTCTTGAATACACACAAGTTTCTATCCATTCATTATGGTTTTTGATTCATCTCTCTGGCCATTTTGTTACACATTAGTTTCAATATATCTAATATGATTTTGATCCAATCTCTCTGACAGTTTCATTACACATCAGTCTCAATCCATCTTTTAAGGTTTTAGATCCATTTTTCTGGCTATTTCAATACACATCAGTTTGAGTCCATCCAGTTAGGTTTTTTATTACACATCTTATATGGTAATAAAGTACAGTACATCTTTGATCCTTCTCTTTGACCTTTTTCAATCCATCTCACAACATTTATGACCTGGGTAGTTTCTTATAAATATGGAAAGCCATAGTAAAATAAGATACAGAAACAAGAATGTCCGCTATCATCCATTAACATTTTGGATGGTACATGTACAGCTGTTCCATGATTTCTAATCAGAATGTTTGGGAATGATGCATCCATGGTGCAGTGCTATGTTTTATAATCATTTGCTAATCACCCAATCCCTGTTGCCTTGTTTTGTATGCCATCAGGTTATTTATGAATATGGTAACCTGTCATGATGCCCCCTTGTCATGACGCCCCCAGCCATGACCATAAGCCATTTATATGATTATTTGTTCATTATTTCAGGCGTTATTATTACACATGCAAATCTACTTGCTGCAACAGCTGCAATGGGTTCCAGGGTTGAGCCACCTATTACGTAAGTCACTTTAGGTCAAGCAATAATAGTAACATGCGCTAAAATGTCTTTTTTTCCTTGAGCTGAAACAGAAACTTATGTTGATTCAATTTGTTTTTAGTGAAAAAGATGTCTATGTTGGATACTTACCTTTGGCACATGTTCTTGAATTGGTCGCTGGTAAGTAATCTTTTTTGTTCTTGTTTATAATAAAATAATTAAAATCTTGGTTTATCCAAGGGGCTTATCATTCATTTTTTTCCAGATAAAATGCATTTTTTAACAAATAATTTTTTCTTATAGAAAATGCTATTTTAGCTCATGGTGCCTGTATTGGTTACTCCACCCCTCTCACTCTGTCAGATCAGGTAATTCATCCTATTATTGAAGTTTTAGTACTGTTGATGGTAACAGTAAATAATGCGACCCAAAAATCAGTATCAATATATTATTAGTAGGGTAGTGGTAGGGTGTCGGCAATATGTTGTTAGGCTAATGGTATTTTGCTGCCGGACACCCTTCTGACACTGATTTTGGGGTTGCATTACATGCACTATTAAAGTGCTGATGTGTGATCATTGTTAACTTTGCCAAAGCTATACAGATACTGTATTTTTTGTCTTCTCATCTATAGTCATCCAAGATCAAAAAGGGCAGCAAAGGTGACCTGACAGTACTAAGACCAACACTGATGGCAGCTGTGCCAGTTATTATGGACAGAATAAGACAGAATGTCATGGAAAAAGTCAAAGAGGGTCCTAGACTGCTGCAACTGTTCTTTACTTTTGCTTATAATTACAAACTTGCACAAATTAAAAGAGGATATGATGCACCCCTATTAAACAGGTATAGTACGCTTTATTAACGATACACCTTATCGATAACCATCATCAACCCACTGACACTTTACCAATACACTAAGATCTTTTCATCAAGATTGAACAATGTARCATTGCAAGTTGCAGAAAGAGTCAAATGAGCATTTACTTTTTGCGTTGTTGTGAAGTATTTGGAGTTGCAGCATGTACCATCTATCGCACAACCTGCAAATTATGCATTTACTGTCACAAATAACAGCACAGCTCTTCCATATCGGATTTTATTGCAGACCTAAAAAGTGTTGAGTTGGAAGCTGCAAGCAGAATTGAGCATGTTTGACATCTCACTCTGCAACTCGCAATACTCTGCTTTGGTCAGCATTCCATCGCAAGATGCAAGAAAAATTATCACATATAACAGGACGTTTACTGATACCTTACCAAAAATCTACCTATACCATGCCATCAGCATCCTTATGAACTACTAACCATGGCTTTAGATTCTTTTGAGTGCTGTTTCTCCAGGAACTAGATGATATCATCCAAATATTTAGCTATTATGTAAAATCAGTTGGTTGTCATGTGTAGTCTGACACTAAAATGCTTGGGTTTTGTTGATTGTAGATTTATATTTGGAAAAATTCGCAACCTTCTTGGAGGGCGTGTGCGACAGATGCTGAGTGGAGGTGCCCCATTGTCTCAAGACACACAGTACTTCATGAATGTCTGCTTCTGCTGTCCTGTTGGTCAGGGTTATGGATTAACAGAGACCTGTGGGGGTGCTACTATTTGTCATAGTAAGAAATTGTTCTTTATGAAAGATGTTAGTCCTAATAGGACACTTGCATTATGATGTCATTTACTACAACTACCACAATCCCTTCAACACTTTCTTTTGTTCAGTTATTTAGCAGCAATTGATGGGTTGCAAGCATTCCCAAGAGAGTTAAAAGACAAAAAACTGGCGGCCATTTTGGTACCGTTAACAATGGATGCTAATGAGAAATCTTTTGTTAAATGGTACCAACATGGCCACGATGACATAACGTGCAAACGAAGAATTGTGTAATAAAAAGAAAATTTACAAAACATTTTAGTAGTGGTAGTAAAATGACGTCATCATGCAAATGGCCAATAGACCTTTCCTAAACATGTTTGAGTGACCATTAAAACAATGGTTTCAATAAGAGGTTGGACTTGATGTGTTCATACATTAATTTTGCTGTATTTTATCAAGTTTAACCTCGACTAGGAACCAACGTTTTGTGCTCACTGAAGCCAGTTCAGAAAAGGTCTATTGTTTCCTCATCAAAAATAAATTTTTTACCTCCAGAAGACATCAATACCGGAGTCGTGGAGCACCCTAAAAAGTCGGGGGGGGGGGGGAGCTAAGGGAGGCTGTAGCCCCCCTGCCAAACCACCTCTGCGGCCCCTGACACACCTTTATGAGGAGGGGTTTAGGATGACTNAGGCTGTAGCCCCCCTGCCAAACCACCTCTGCGGCCCCTGACACACCTTTATGAGGAGGGGTTTAGGATGACTGTATTCTTGACCTAAACATTATAATTTTTCCAGCATGGGACATGACAACAGGTAGAGTTGGACCACCAATCGCCAGTTCTGAAATCAAGCTTATTAGCTGGGAAGAAGGTGAGCAAACAACTTGTTACTGGTTGGTTGACAGTTTTAATGTGAGATATTTTGCAAAGTTTTATAGGATGGGTAGATGTATCAGCCATTTTGAGGTTGAGGGGGGAAATGGGTCAAGTTATCATGGCAGTGCATCGTTTTAGGGTACAAAGCCAACAACATCTTTGAAATATGTCCACTAAAACGGGTGGCATGGGTGGCGTAGTGGTTTACTGCTCGCCTCTCACCACTGTGGTCKGGGTTCGAGCCCAGGCTCAGACTGGATCATATGTGAGTTGAGTTTGTTTGTTGTGTTGTTCTCTCCCCTGCCACGAGGGTTTTCTCCGAGATCTCTGGTTTCCTCCCTCCGTAAAAAGCAACATGTGAGTTGAGTGTCGTATGTTGTAAATATAGAATGTAGTGGTAGTGCGTGTGGAGGGAACCTCACAGAAGAGCCCCGCATGGGGAGTGGTGGTTGTAAAATATAAGTTTAAAACAGTCCCCCAGTGCACTGCAATGTCAACACTCGAGCCAGTTTTTTGAACCTCAAAATGTCAATTATAATAGTAATAAGTGCATGGCTGGAATGAACCAATAGGAATGAGAATTTTAAACCAAAGAATCATGTCAGAAAATATTATTTCAATTTTTTAACAAGAATGTCTGCCACTCATGTTTGTAAAGGTGGATATACTATTCGAGACAAGCCATACCCCAGAGGAGAAATAGTCATAGGAGGACCCAATGTCACGTTAGGATACTACAAGAACCCCCAAAAAACAAGTGAGGACTTCGAAATAGACAGAAATGGGCAGCGCTGGTTTCATACTGGGGATATTGGAGAGTTCCATAGTGATGGCTGCTTGCAAATTATAGGTAAGCTTGATGTACACATAGTTCTACTCACACTGTGAGTAGTGTTCTGCATTAGTATTGGTATTCAGTACAGTACAGTAAAAATTAGTGAGGTTTTGGATTACTAAATACCTAGGCTAGCAGATTACTCTAAGGGGCTACTGGATTTATAGACTTACTAGCCCATTGCCTAGTGATCTAAAAGTGATATAAATGTTTTGTGTACAGATCGCAAGAAGGATCTTGTCAAGTTGCAAGCCGGAGAGTATGTGTCACTAGGCAAGGTAGAGGCAGCTCTTGCTCAATCCCAGTATGTCGAGAATGTGTGTGTGTATGCTGAAAGCTCTGAGACGTATGCTATCTGTCTGGTGGTACCAAGACCTAAACAGTTAAAGCAGTTAGCAACATCTCTAAACGTATCATCAGAAGACTGGAATGTACTTTGCAGTAATGAGGCTTTAACTAAAGCTGTGCTTCAGGATTTGCAGATAGTTGGCACAGCGGGTGAGTTTGAAATAACAACGATAGCCATAGTTGTACATCAGAAAATAAAAAATAAATTGGTTTGAAAAAATAATTTGAGAGGATTGTTGATTGGGGTAGTTTTTAAGTAATTCTAGAAAAAGGGATGAAAGGGAAACGAATGGGAGGGAAAGGAAAGAAAAGAAAGAGAGATGAAATGCTTGCTTCAGCAAAAATTATTTGCCATCTCAATTTCGGAGTTTGTACATGTGAGCAACGTTTGTTTTATCCCCTTTTTGATCTCTGTATTTTTTCTCCAGGTTCTCTGGTTTTCCTCCCTCTGCAAAACCTAATATATTTATTAGATCAACCTTGGAAGGTGATTCTGGGTTGGAAAAGCTCTTTGTTTGTTGACAGACTGAAAATTAAAATTTTGCTTTCTCCTATTTATTTACAGCAAAGCTACAGAAGTTTGAAATTCCTCAGAAGGTAACGCTGGTCACAGAGCAATGGACACCAGAATCTGAACTTGTTACAGCCGCGCTTAAACTAAAGCGCAAGAATATTACGTCTTTTTACCACGATGTCCTACAGGCCATGTACCACTAAATCCTGCATTTAAATACTTGGCTAATCACTCAACTGAACTAAGCAGGTTTCGTATGAGTGAGGGGAGATTTATGATTGGATGAAAGACGTTCTCGTTGTTTTGAAAGTCTGTAGAGGAAGCTTATGACTTTCACGTTGTCTAATTACCTTACTTTCACCACTTATACCAAACCTGATCCACTTGACATTATTCGTATATTTATTATTAGCATTTGAATTTTACTTGAATTCGCTAGTATATAAAGTATCTATTTGCCATCTATCTTTAAAAAGGATGGTAACTTACAGTTAAGATGTTCTACAAACCCAAAGCATTTGATTCTCTCTAAGTCTATGAATATTGCGATAATGTTTCAGTCGCAATAATTTCCAAAGTCCACGTTCTTTGTCTTTCCTTATATTTTTCCTTATCTTACAGCTTTTGTATTTGCATGCCTCCTCTTGAAATAGTTTGGTCAGAAAGGGCATAGCGTTCGTAACATTGCATCATTTGATTGCATAAACTCAGTTCAAAGCTTGATCTCTTTAAGAAATTATTGTATGTGGTCTATATTTTGTCGTGGCCTTTCAAGAGGGACGAAAATCATTTGATTGAGTTTTGGATCACAGTGTATGATAAAAAAGGTTAATAAAAGAATGTCAAAAAATTTCGTAAATTCTTCGTTTTGATTTATTTTTCAATTTGGTCGTATGCCTTGTTAACATCCATCGACATTGCACGAATATTCAAGAGGTGTGGAGAAAAAGGTTTCCCATTCATACTGTCATGATTAACAGCACGTAAATGGTACGGTTAATCTATTGTATCACTGATTGTGCGATGGACCTCAAACTTGAACTTAATGTTTCCCCTTACAGCCCACATGTCTTTCTCTAGAGTAGCATGTACTTTGTTAATGGTTGCGCATAAAAAGACACGTGAATATAAGGATACAACTCAAACAAACAATCTTAATTATTCTCGGCAAAATATCATGGTCTGAAATGGTCTGAAATAGGGAAACATTACGCCCAACCAGATGAACAACATTGCATACAGTAGTATAGGGGCAATTGGCAAAGGGAAAATTGAGCTACCTTCACATCCTTTCCATTTTCACAATTTATTGTGTTTTATTATGAGTATTAAGCAATAAAAGTTTCTGGGAAGCAAATAAATGGGCGTATTCCTAAAGGAATGACGCATTGCCTATATATGCAGTATAAGGCAATAATGTAGCACCCGACTCGATCTTATCAAATCAAGAGGATTCATTTCGAACAATTCGATCTTCATATCATCAGAGTTAATAGATTAACTCTGATATCATAGACCCTAGTTCTTATAATAATGAAAACTTCTGGAGCAAAATATTGATTGGGCCGTTGGTCCCTGACGTTGATAATTTATACACCCAGCTCAATCATTTACACCTGCCTTATAGCACGTCTCCAACTATCACGAAAGTGAAACTGGAGTAAGTCATTCCAAGCCAGAACCAATAATTCGCAGTCGTATAAATGAAAAATAAGCCTCGTAATATTCTCTAGGAAATTTGGGTTGCATTAAACATGATTATCTTGAAACCTTTGAATTTTGGTAAGATCAAAATTACGTAATAAGGAATATGTTGACTATAAATAGACCGTATGTATGCTAATCACTACAGACGTCATACTTTCGATGCCCAAATATAGAGAGTGAACTGTCGACATAACCACAAACATCCGAAAGTCGCCATATTGAATGTGAAGACGAACTCAAAAAGAAAAAGAGTGTCTTGAATCCGCTTGGAATTTTATTTCAAGCCTAAATGTAATGACGTAAAGTACGTAGGGATATCGTAAAGGATTTTTAAGGTTTGTGGAATAGTTTCTGACTGTTTCTTTTGATATTTCTCCTTGTCGTGGGTTTTCGTAACTTGCCTGATCGACTAGATCTGTCTGCAAGGTGTTTTCTTCTTGTCGTTGCGTGTTATTTATACGTAACCAAGCAGAAGGGGCTTTAAGCCCTATTTTTACTTCAATAAAGATAATTAATAGCTTAATGCAGATGTAGGAAAGTATGTATAAATGATTCCAAATTTTTCTTAGCTTACTATATCTGCAAGACAAAACAGTGGCTGCGAAAGGACCGTTCGAGCATATCTTAAGCTAATTATTCATACAATAATAATTTTCGAAGCAGGAGCTGCTATACCTAAAGAAATCCAATTTTGATTTATGCTTTGCTTTAAATGCTAATGAGACTTTTGAGACAGTAGAAAATATTACAATAATATTGAACGAAGGAGAGAGATCTTTAATATCATTCGATGTTTCCAGTGTTTACTTCCCTAGGTAGTTGACATGGAAATGTTATTATACGTGATTATTGTAGGTATTTTTATTTCATTTTCAATGTTTCCTAAGTACCTTTTTCGTGTATAATGCTTAAATTGAAGGCTTGCAAACCTCAAAAGTTGTCACTTGGTTTGCTTAGTTATTTTGAATATAACTGCGTGTATCACGGGACAAACATGCAATAAAGACGTCTTAGTTAAAAAATTGTACTTTGGCACCATTTACATTTATACAGATACTTTCAGATCAATAAGCCAAGTTTATTGGTACATGCACTTCGTTAACAAAATATTTTTATATTATTAAATATACTTATAGGGTAACTATTATTGTGCACCTTGCTTTGTTTGACAGAGCATTTATCAGGGATTCCTAACACTATGAAGTCATAGCTTTAGCATAGTCATAGCTTATAGCAATATTCTTATCACGTCTCATATTATAATGAATTATTAGTTAATTATTATTGTCAATAAAATTATTATTGAAGTCATAGCTTTTGAGTATAGCTCCATCTTTGTGAATTATGAGAGCAAGTCATATTTATAAATGATTGTATCTATTTTATATTTTCTAATAGATCGAAAAAGAAGCTGTGTTGAAGATATCCAGCCATGAAGTTATCATTTGGTTATGTAATTCTGCTTCACTCTCTCTACAGAACCTGGGCATCAAAATATTATGATGATAGAAATCAAAGAGTTTGTCTGGTAGGTCATAGAGAATCTGAATAAAATTACCCATATTACTAGCTAATAGAGTACTCAAGTGATGACGTAATAAAAATGAATGTTCGCTTTATCATGTTTTTGGTTCCCATTAGTCCCTTTAACAGTTAACTGCACCATCTTGAAAGGTAGCCATGCCATGCATCAAAGCAAGACGAGCTGTGAGCTTGCAATGATAGAGACCTTTTTTTAACACCTTGGACAAATCTTCACATGTCTCTATCATTGCAAGCTCACCGTTCGTCTTGCTTGATGCATGGCATGGCTACCTTTCAAGATGGTGCAGGGAACTGTGAAGGGAACTGTGAAGGGAACTGTTTTGATAGACAAGGAAAATGACGTTTACACACCAAATTTAAAGAGAATCAGTCCAATACCAGCTGAGATATCATCACACTTGAGTACTCTCTTGAAGTGTACATCTATTGGATGACAACTTAGAGTCAATGTGAGAACACTTTCTGTGTGATTATTCGAAGATTGAAATGAATATTCGTAAATTCAAATGATTATATGTATCTTACAATTCTTAGATTGTAATCTTACTTTCAAGTTTTCAATACTTGCTATTCATTCGTTAAATAATCAATATTAAATTACTTATAAAAATTAGAAACATGCTCAAATATTCAATGAACACAGAAATGGAATTAATATTCTAATCTTCAATCAAAGATTTCAAATAATTAATTCTAGATTCAAATATTCATTTTGCATATTCCAGACAAGCATTCAAATTTTTAATTGACTCATCAAAGATGGTTGTTCATGCGTGATGTTCATTGACTGTAATTGTTCCAATTATTTTAGCCTAAATCTTTCTTATCCCTATCCAGGATAAAGGTGAAGGTAATGAATGCTTTCCTTATGGTTTGGCAGACTTTGGTTCTATTGCACAGTATACTACCAAGGTAATATGAAATCACAGGTAGCCCAATAGCAAGTCAAAAGATTTACTTGTACTTGAAATGTATTGCAACATGGTGATCGTTTTAATGCCAAACCCACAGAGGGAGATATTTCTATATTTCCTTAATTTTATCAGTTACATACAACATGCATGAGGAATAATGTGTAACTTGAATGGTAGTTAGCATGTTGCAACCAAATCCACACAATCTGTATTAGTATTTTTCCTTTATTTTTTTCCCAGTTACAGATATAATGCAGCAAATGACTATTCTATTCTCTTTTGTAGGGTCTGATAGTACCTGCATTGCCGGCAAATGCCTGTTCAACCATTGAAAACAGAAACAAACATGAAAAGATGGACTACATTTATTTTGTATTAATCAAAGAAGGAGGCTGCAGCTTTGGATACAAAGTAAGAATCTCACAATTAGTATTGTGTGAATTGTTTTAGAGGTGTCAATGTGTAATAGAAAGTGAAAATTTTGGGCATGGTTATGGAATAGTGATGTAATATTATGTTAAAGGTAAGAACATTTTACTGTAAAATTAAAGTATTTAAAATAATGTCACTGTTTGAATTATAGGCATTAATGGCAAACAATGCAGGATATGAATTTGCTATCATTCACAGCACAACATCTGATACAGTTGTAAGAATGGCCGCTGGGAAATGTATGTACTTAATGATAATTTTAATACAAACATTTATTTAGATAGGTTGTACAGATACAAATTATCCTTTGAATGTCTGTGATTCTTCATGTTCCCAAAAATGCTTCTGCAATACTTTCTTGCAGTATTGAGTTTAGTTCCAGAAATTATCCATTCCCCTTCCCCACCCCCCACCCCCACAGAGGAATTTTTTTTAAAAAAGATTCCCCCTCCCCCGATACCAAAGCTTTTCTAATTCTTAATGTGATTACTCAAAAAGTGTTTATCCATATGCACAGATGGAAAAAAAGTTGATGAGATTATGTCAATTTTTGTTGGAAAGGTAAGATCTTTGTCTCTAACTCAATTTATGTATAAAGTTATTTCTAATTTATTTTTAAAAATCCATTTGAAAAATTGTGATATTGATATATGTGCAATATAGATTAATAAATTTCTTTATTATATGACCGTGAATCTTAGAGCCTGGACACTAGCAAATTGAGCAATCTGATTGGATAGATCGCATTGTGGACTGGTCTAGATTCTCTGGTATTAACCGGTCCGATCACATATTAATCTTACAGCGAAAACATTGTCCTTTTTAATGAAAAGTGGTCATATAATAAAACTCTTATCAACTGAGCTTGGTCGGTCTGTACAGGATAATCTTGACCTCGGTCGGGTACAGACCTCGGTCAAGATTATCCTGTACAGACCTCCCACTCAGTTAATAAGATCTAATTAAAATACATAAAGGACAAATAAAGTTGGAATCAGTATTTTTTTAATTTGGCATAAACATACCCAAACATGTTCGTTCCTAAAAAATTGGGGTCACTGAATTAGTTTTTTTCTAAACCATTATTAGCCATTCCAAGGTTGAGGGAAAAGCTGGTTTGAGATGGCACTTTCTTTTAGTATATTGTGAAACTGCAGTTTAGGGGGTTTCATTTAGGGGACTAAATAAATGCTATCTTGGAAATATGTTCCCTGAAAAGTCCCTCAATGTACTGCAAAGTCAACTTGACCCAGATTTTTCTTCAACCTTGAATTGACTTAAGACCGAGCTAAAAAGATCCATCACTTTTTCCTTTGCACTTTGTAAATAGTAGAAAATGTTTGTTATTGCAGACTGCTGGCAATCTTTTTTTGAAGTACAATTATACTACAGGGTAAGCTATGTCATCATAAAGTCAATCATGACAAATGCCCAAGAAATTAATGTGATGAAGTAATAGAAGCGCGACTGTTTGAAAAGATTTATTGCAGACTATATTTTTATTTAACCGATAAATGAAAATCATAGGAAATTTTATAGGTTATCACATGTTAAAAGCTTGATTTCATTTTTGTCCAGGAGTTTTTATATCATATAACTGCAAACAAGTGAGTCCACGAGCAATATGATATGATAATAATAATAGTTTTTAATAATGATTTTAATATTTCTATACCTCAAAATACATTATATATATAAACTAATGTGCTGGAAAATGAGTCAATAAAAAGATATCAGACTCTTAACATGTAATAATTTGTCTACATTACACATTTATAAGGTCAATAAAATAACAAAACTTGCAGTTTCCAATTCACCGTGAAGTGATATCATATCACTTCACTGATATGGTTTTTATTCACAGCTTTATCACACAGATATCCAACCTAAATGTGTAATAATTTTTTCAGTGAAAAAAAAAGCACTTCTGAAAACGTTTCGTTGTGTTTTGCATGCAAACTATTTCTATTAATGATTTTATCATTTATTTTTTAGAACATTAGTAACAATTCACCCTCCTTCATTCTTCCCAAACCTGGAGTTCTACCTTATTCCATTTGTTATTATTATTGGTATCTGTTTTATTCTCATGGCCATGTTTATGGTGAGTATGATATATTTAATATGGGAAGTACTGTACGGGTGGCATAGCGGTGTGAGCGCTCGCCTCTCATCAATGTGACCTGAGTTCGAATCCCATTGGGTTCGGTGTCGTATGTGAGTAGAGTCGTTTGTTGGTTCTCTCCTGTGCTGCAAGGGTTTATTGGGTACTCCAGCTTTCCTCCCTCCGCAAAAATCAACTCCTAAATTCCTATTCGATCAGGGAATGAGGGCCACAGGTATGTTAGCCACTGGCTATTAAGTGCTACCCTCGTGAACATCTCCTCGTGAAATAAAGGATGTTATTTAATACATGAAATTTGAAAAAAAATGTGTATAGTGTTTGGTACAGTATTACAGTATACAGTCATGAAAAATAATTGTCATGTTCAAAACATCTAGTCAAACCATTTTTAAGTATTATAATACTGTCATTCTATGATGATGATTAAGCAAAATATATCTTGAATTTTCATTATATGCTGGTTAGATCTAGTCTGATCAGTTGACCGATCATTAAAGCCAACGTACCTGTAACTGTCTCAATTATATTTTATCTTACTGTAGTTTGAAAAAAAATTGATACCAAAATTTGGAATTTTTTGTCTTGATTGTTACATACATGTATTGTTATGTTAAGAAATAAGAATATTATTTTGATCTTTTTTGGGCTGTAGTCGATAGTGTTTGCAATGATCTAGAACTTATTCTATTTACTTTCAAATCTCAGTAATTAGATTCTCAGTACCAACCTTTAATAAAAATCCTCAAAAAATGTCATTTTTAGTTGGTATCACATTGTTTAATGCCATAGAAGCTTGTATCTATCAGCTTTTTATACTACAAGCCAGTCGATTAACATATTGATCAATAGAAACACCTGTTATTTTGATAGCTCTGGCAAGCAAACCTTCATACTTTTTAGTTCACTTTGTCTATGTCCCATCACAGAACCCAGGAGACAACAATACTTCTTATTTAATTTAATGTGCAACGCACAGCATATACTTTTCAGAACGAAGGATTTATCTTGGAATCCTCCAGAAAAAAAATAGCTTGACTCCCCCCCTGAGTGTAATCAGTGTTCTCATTACTTTCCTTAATGCCAAGAATACGTTTTGGGATGCAATTTGTAAGTTGTTTTTCCTGTTTGTTTTATTCATTTCCAAATCTTAGTTTTTCTTTTGTTTTATTCAGTTCCTTTTTGATATCAAATTTTTGAAACCATTAAATTCTTAGTCCTTTTGAATTACAACATTATCAACCATGGTAAATGTTTTGATCTTATTAAATGTTGCTTGATTGTTTCTAGCAGGTTTACAGTACTTGTGCTGTTGATAGAACATGAGGTCTATATCTCCTTTCATCTAATTCGTTTTCTACTATCAGTTGAAATAATTTCAATTGTTTAAACTTAGTTGTTTTTTTTAAAATTCAAATTGCTTTTCACTTACAATTTCCGTAAGCATAATTGACTATGATTGTCAAAATTTGTCACTAAAACCTCTAGAGTTTGGTAACATGTTTACATGTAAATAAATAATAGATAATGGGGTTTAGCAGTGGCATTTCTCCATTATTGCTCTTTCTCCACCAATTCCAATTGGAATTTAGAAGTTGATTTTTTTCAGAGGGAGAAAAACCGTAAGAAAAGAAATAAGAGCAAATTTACTCACATATGACATTATCAGRGTCCAGGAATCAAACCTGCATTGTATTGGTGAAAGGCGAACACTYACTCTTGCTGCTACGTTTATTCATCCTATGATAAGGTTCATTGCTATTTATCAAAGTTTAACCAAAAAGAATTCATTTAACTGGTTGCATGAAGGGTGGGTAGCACTATCCAATGGATAAATTCCTATCCAGTGGTATGTTGATGATGTTAACCAAAAAATTTATCCACTGAATAAGATTTATCCATCGGATAGCACTATCCACGGTTTGTACAACTGGCCCAGACTAGAATACTGAGGACATGGGTTAAAGTTGTGCCAAGTACATATGATATTTTTCTTCTTAGTTAATGTTTATTTCATTCATCACACAGAACACAGCTTTATTATATATATTTTTTAGCTTAAACATGTAATTTCCTTTACAGGTTAGTCGGTATTATCGTAGTTATTTAGAGAAACGGAGGAACAGAATTACTCCTGCTAACTTAAAGAAGATACCCACCAAGAGATTTAAGAAAGGTCAGTATGAGTTATAAGAACTCTACACTCACTGTACATTACAATGCCAGTTCCAAATGGCCAGCTTAAGTAGATCTGAGCCTGGTTGTACGAAGCCTGAATAGTGCTATCCGACAGATAAATCTTATCCAGTGGATACATTTATTGCATAACAGCATCCACTTAGGCCACTGGATAAGGATTTATCCGCCAGATAACGCTATCCAGGCTTTGTACAATTACTTAATCAATGTTACCATTGATTAATTGCTATCCAGGCTTTGTACAATTACTTAATGTTACCATCTTGGCTATGATTTGGCAGGGACACCACAACGCCATAGCCAATTACAGTGGGCCCTGTTTAGCACGGGTACTGAAGATGGTTGTCACCAGCGTCTTCAGTTGATCTTTTACGTCCACCTTATATAGGGTCATATAGCTTCTCTTGGTAGATCAACCAACATTGGCAGCTGTTATTATTCATATCTCAAGGGATTTTGAGTATGGAATATCATTCAATACTTTTATAGGTGATGAATACTATGATGTTTGTGCCATCTGTCTAGATGAATACAAAGATGGTGACAAGCTCAGGATACTTCCATGTGATCATGGTAAGCACTATGAGTCAGGGGCTGTGGGAGCTTAATCCAAATATTTGCACTGACAACTGAGATGCAGTTCATTTTGCATCAGGGAGGGGGAGGGGGACAGCACAAAAAATCTGAGGCACACAGCATTTTTACAGTTAACTGAATGGAAAATGAGTCAGGGACTATTTTTTATGCAACAATAGAGATGGAGGCTCAGATTTCTAGTATAGGTAACCAAGAAAATCCACTGCCACCCTACTCCCCAATCACAAATAAACAGCCCCTTCACCATCAAGATTACCAGTTTAAGGTGTTGAAGACAATGGTTTGCAATCATCTTGAAGAGAGCCACAAGACAAAGCCATGGTAGCCACATTGGTGGTATTAACAATTATGGAGGTTATGAGAAATGAATATGGTGGCAATGACGTAATGAAAATTACATTTAATCCAAGGAATTACATGTATATGCAGCCAGTAATTGATGTGTGGTGTTTATTTTTTTAGTCTATCACTGCAAATGTGTTGATCCATGGCTTACAGAAGGTAAAAAGACATGCCCTGTTTGTAAGCGTCCAGTAGAAAGTAAGAAATCTAGGAACACCAGCCAGACTGATGTGGAAAGAGGTCAAGGAAGTGGTTCTGATATTGATGCTGATGAGACTACCCCACTCATACAGCCTTCTGCACCATCAAATCACTTGGTTGAAGTTTAATGATCTTCAACATAAATTTATGAAATATGACAAATTATAATCAACTAATTAGTCATCTTATACAGGTCTGTATCATATATTGCACACCTATGGAATCATATCCTACTGTACAACTCCATGTATTGTTATTATGAGTGGTTAATGTTTTGAGACATTTGGATAAAGGAGTTCTTGTCAGCATTTAAATGTACAGAGTCTGATGACAGCATTTCACTAATCTTAATAAGAAACCAAGAAAGATATTGGTCTCACCTGACTGAAAATGCTTGGTCCATGAAACTCCCAGGGTAGGGGGGGGGGGGGGTACTCCTCTATATTCACTATGTGGGTATGTGCCGCCAAACAGGATATGGTTTTTAGCGATTCTACTCTGGAACAGGGTATATGAAATTGCGCTCGCTCTGGGACAGGGTATATGAAATCACGCTCTCTCCTCTCTGGAACAGGGTATGGTTTTCAGCGATCTTGCTCTGGAACAGGGTATGAATTTCAGCGATTTTACTCTGGAACAGGGTCAGGGTACAGAAGGCAAGAGTAACCCCCCCCCCCCCCCCAAGATGAAACTTTTATTATGTGGTCAGAAAAAATACAACTGGCCCAACATGTGTTGAGAAACACTACTTTAAGATGGTGGTCTGAACTGCTAGATTCTGACCAATCAGGGAAGCACTTACATTGCTCCATTATTATCCTGATTAAAGTCATATTGTCAAATAATAATTATATGTCAATGACGTCCAGAAAATATTTATACCTTGTAACTGAGAAATGATTAGAATTTGCAAGGGTCATTTGGAGTGGGGTAGGAATGAAAGGCAGTCTCCAACCCACAAGTACAGTAGTAATAACACAAACCATTGTTGGTTGGAGATCTAAAATCTGAGACCAATTTGCTAGTGCAGGTCATCCCTCAAAGGGGGTGGAACACATTTAGATACTACTGCTAATTAAATAGACAAAACAATTATCTCTTTCCTTCGTATTTAAATTCACAGCTCACAATTCATTTCATTCAAAGATTTCAGATTTCCAACCACCATTCTCACGTAACAGTTGTATACCAAGGTATTGATATTTTCTGGAACTACACAGCTATCAACATGAAATAATTAAAGGTAGCGTCTTAGATAAATAGTTAGCCTGCGTAGTGGCCCCGAGTTTTTTTGCACTCCTCTTTCCCAATCCCCACTCCTCTCCGAGGGCCGCTACTCAGGGTAATAAATAGTGTATGAATAACTTGAACTTAGTATCGACATTAAAACCATTACACACATAAGTAGTGAAAAAATAAACAGCATTGCCTTTGTAGTGAAAATTTTTTAGGAAACCACTCTTTCAATATTTGTGATAATTTATAACAACGTATCGACTTTTCTTTTAATTAAATTTTTTATGCTTTTTTTGTTGTAAAGTTAACACCTGGTTATGTACAAGATATCTCCCAGAAATGACTTGTATCTGTATTCTATCAATTAAATTTTTTCATCCAGTTGATACCAAGTATTCAGATACTTTCTGGTTGGTAGGACATTCACAGAACATTGATGAGATTCCTTATCAATTTTTTTTATTCAGTCACAAGGCTGCAAGATAAATGGCTGTTAAAAATGACCCTTTTACTGACATTTGTTGTTATCATATTTTTGTTTTGTTAGTATTTTTGGTCAGTGTTTTGTTAGTTTATCAAGTATTTCAAATCTAGCTAAAATACAGCTCTTCTCTGCCATTCCAACTTTCTCAGGTAGTTTATGTATATACAAAATAATTGTGATGTTTTTCAATTTATATTTAGTTGCTAAGTGTACTTACCTTGGGTACAGAATGGGGGAATGAATGGCAAAGAAAAAGGGGCCCTGTGGGTGTCTTTTGTACTGGTACTCATAAGTAATGTAAAATATTAGTGCTAAATAACCAATGTAAATAGACAACAGTCTTATTGTTAGGGTTAAGTACTGTGATAAATCTTTAATAAATTTTGAAACCACAGATTTCGTAGGAGTCTACTGATTGAAAAGGAAATGTGCTAAGGTTAGTAGCTAGGAAAATGTGTTATTTAGGGAAATACTTATTGTAATTCCGAGGCAGAACCAGGGGGCAGGGTTGCAGTTTGATTTCTTCTTACAGTAATGCACCAGTCATTTGACATCCCCCGCACCTTCCCCTGAGGCATACCCGGGGACCTCACTTTTTCCCTCAGTGAAAGGTAATGAAAGCCCCGCCCCACAGGGAAGAAAATAAAAGTGAAGTCCCTACGTCATCTTTTGAGCAGTTTATTTTAATGTCAACTGGATATTTCATATCTTTTGCAGCAGAAATGTGTTTGCCGACTAGGTGTATTTGAACTCAATGCTTTATTTTAGAAACAGAAAAAACAGGAGATAATATCCTGAAAAAAACTTAAGTTTTTAAGGTTCGAGCCTCTGTAAACAGAAGGTACTTTTCTTATCTTTTTCTTCTTTTTTTTTTCATTGGGTTCGGCATATTGGATACCCCTTGCAATTTTCCCCCATGATGAAAATATGCTAGTTCCTCGGCCACCCCTTTCAAAATTAAAGAAACTAAAGAAAATAGGCATTGTGCAAAAAATATATCTTAAATTTATTTCTAAAACAACGATTGCAACAGCTTGATGATTCTATAAATGGCTTGTTTGATCATACAAAAAGAAGCTGGCATTGACAGATTATGTTTTCATTTTTTACCAAATGGGAACGGCAATTCTTTCTTTTATCGATAAAACCTAAAACCTAACGAGACCAAAAAACATTTTTGCTTCTAGTATCCAGAATCTTTTAGATAATTAGCGAGTCCTTCCACGACATTATTGCAATTTCCGGCTCCGCCAGCCGCTTCATCGTAGCCACCGATCAGCAGAGCTYGCTTGGTAAGGCACACACAGAATCCACCTTTGTCTTTCAATTTCAAGTAAGCGATTTGTTGTTCCCTGTCATTTCTCAGCATCATGTACCTAGTTCCACCGATCTCCTTACCAGAAACGATGCCATCTTTTAGGCTCTTGATCAGCTCTAAGGCTTCGGCTTGGGAAACCTGTTAGACAGGTAAAACATGAACAATTACATTTAACCTACCGATCTCTAAATTACAATCCAAACAAAGGTCATAATTTATTTACACTTCAATAGACACCCACCCAACCTTATTGACAAATCCTATATAAAGACAATATTGTATATGTATTTTATGAGCGGATTGTTTGATCTCGATCAGGAACTGAATGAGAACAAAATTTTTATGAAACTCAAAAAATTTTATGAAACTCAACTAGATGACCAAGTCAAGTGCATTCCTATACAAAGGGGCTCTTCTAATGCTTCGAGTTAATCAAATAACTTGAGAATTGAGGTTATATGCCTTCATTAGCTTTGGAAGAGTGAAGTCRCTACACTCGTGAAATACATTTAGACTAGTACACATTGGTAAGCCATATATTGTATTGTTTTCTTTTCTGTCTATTTGACTACACGCCAACTGACATCTTTTATTTTACGGGTTAAATGCTTTCCCTCTAGTCGATAAATTACCTAAGGAAATATTTATTTACTCTTGATCGCTGGGTAAAGATTTCAGATAACAAAATCTTGTGGCGGAAATATTCATGCCAGAACAGGTCTTGACAAGCAAGCACCAAAAATTCTTCTAGTCTTAAATCGGTAAGCTCTAATTGATTATGGTTAAATTTTTGACTTAACTTAGGGTCTTTATTTCACGTAAAATATATCATTTTAGGTTGAAGTTCCACCAAGGAAATTTTCGGTGTCTTTTGAACTTTTTTTTTAGATTTCTCAATTCAATTCACTCTTGTGCAAACGGATGCTTTACTTGTATTTTCGTTTCGAAAGGCAGAAATATTCAAATAACAACTTAATGGTTAATTATCTTATATCACATAAGATGTCTAACGATCAAATGTGTAATTACAGCTGAATTTGAAAGAAAATAATTACTATCAAAAAAAAAAAAACGAAATAGTTTAGGTCTTATGCAGTGAGGAAAAGTTCACGCACAGAGGAAGGTGACAGGGCGCCTGTTTCACTCACCGAAAATCCGCTGCTTGTTGCCCAGCAAGAACCATCATGACCATGAATCGCAGCTTTATGAACTCTACCTGAACCAAGAAGGTTTGTATCTACATATGCTTGCCAGCTCATGATGAAAATTTTGATAAAACAGGGCAAAGAAACCTTTGATTCCTACCTGGAGTTGTCAAACTAAAGAAGATTTTTTTTGTATCTGACAAGTCGACCTCAACTGCGATGATGTCACGATAATACTGAACAGTGATTGGCTGGAGATTGTCTTGTTCAATCAACTTAACTTCCTCGAGGAAGTAACAAAGTAAAACACGAGAGGGGGTCGAAGTGGGATTTTACTTGCAGAGAACGAAAGAAGCGGTCTCGACAGCTTAACCCCGATACTATAGCTTTCCTGTACATTTATTTCCTTAGGTATCAAATTTCTATATCTGTGAGTTAGACGTTAAGATTCCTACAATCAAGGGAAAGGATGTTAGTAAGGGAAATTCAATTGAATTTTTTTCAGTAGTATTTCTAAGAGGAAAAGATATTTCTGGGGTGGGATCGATACTTTTGGAGATATAACCAATCTGAAGCAGTGTAATCTATTTGAACTCTACATTCGCTGAAAACGGTAACCGCATTTAATCTTAGTATTTTACGGAAATGCTCGAGTTAAACTCGCGAAACTTATAGCCAGGATCTCTTTTCTCAGGTCATACCTCCCCTCCCGTGAACTCTCTCGGAAACCCAGGGAGTGCGTGTCTAGGGACTGGGGGAGGGGAAGAAAGAGAAAGAGGAGGGGAAAAGCTCACGCCCTTGAAATTAAATCATTTGACGCCTTTCATTACTTCTTCTTGATCCTCGTCCTCCCATCCCTTGTACATCCTACATCTACAAAACCGCACTGCGGAGCTGATGTCAGTCAAGCTTGACTTTAATATAGGATTGTAGCATTCACGCAGTCACAAAGTAACGAATGGTTTTAACATTTGCTGTATTAAAGATGAATGAGCCAAAAATCGAATATTGCAACCTAGTGATCGGTTAATTTTAAACAAATCAGCAAAACTTCAAAATCGTTATCCAGTTTGCCGGTCCAATACTGTGTAAATGCCATTATATCTATTTCTCAGCAAGCTTTGTCTCAGCTGTGTATGATCAATTGACCGCAACAGAAAACGATTGTCTTTCTGGTCCAAAAGTTTCATTATAGACTACTACTAGCATTTTGATTTTTAGTGGTGATAACTAGTAGAGTACTAGACCTACTTTCGGTTTGTTGATCGGTATTTATAAACTGAACAGCCTCGCTTTAATGTTTCAATCCTCTACCCAATTAATGGACAATATTCAATCAATCTAGACCCCTTGCATGTGACGTCAAAGCAGCTCAATTTGTAGGACAAAATGAAAGATTTTCAATCTTCTGAGAATTGGAAACCTATTGTTATGTCCTCCAAATTGAGCTGCATTCCGACGGACTTCAAGGGGTCTATAACCGATCTCGCTGAATCGATTCAAAGACATTTTAAACTCGTAAACTATATCCGGTATTAAGTTTTTCAATTACTCGCTTGATCAAGCAGCGGTGAATATGGTGGAAGACCTTTAGATATGTGCCCAGGCAATTTAGGTACAGAAGTCCAATCATGTGAAGTAGAGTAGTTGAGATAGAGGTACGGGCAGAGGCAGAAGCAAGGTCCAAAGGGCATAGGGATTCCATGGGAGAGGTAGGGAATGTAGAGGTGGAGACTGGAGTACAAAAAGAGATTGCMTCATAACAAAAGTAATGGAATTTTCCAGAATACAACCAATGTCCATTATCATTGGATAAATCATTTTATAAACATGACAGATTTTAGATAAAAGCAATCAATTTATTAAATATCARAAAGAAAAAGGACAAGCAATAATAAAGAAAGTGGCAGGATATAGAAATCAAAAAAGATAATAATGATGATCAGAACAAACCCAAATATTAAATATAGTAAGTTATCTGTGTTTGGAGTGCACCATGTTTTTAAAGATATAAATATTCATATTTACACTTTTGTAAATTTTATTCATGGCATTTTGGTAGAAAGTGTTGAAATAAAGATACCTTACCTTACCACAGAGTGTACATAAAATAAGTTCAATAAATCTGATATTTTATATAATRACATTTTTTTGTTATATTCTTTTATAATTATTTCAGTTATCACTTCAGGGTCCCTTTTCATCATCAGACTCTTTTTCATAGTGTCTATACTCTGGCTTAAGCTCCCACATATTTTTATGAGGATTCTTGGTGTTGTAGTGAGCTATTTCCTTCAAAATGCTTTTAAGATAAATCTGAAACACAAATAATACGTTTGTATTGGTGGATGACATTTATTCCTAAGAGTCAAAAAACAAAGTCATGGCAACCATGTTGGGTGTTTTTAAAATGGAGGCTAATGTTAAAGGTTATTGCCCCTTCAAAGTTCCCCTTTGCCCTCTTGAGAGGTAACTGTGCCTGTGAATCTCAGCAAGGACTGCAGTGACCTTGCAATAACAGAGACCTCCATCAACACCTTTCTGGACAACTATTCATGTCTCTCCAGGGAACTGTGAAGGGGATTATTGTTCAAAAACAACAAACATGCATGGCTGGGATAATGTAACATGATGATATAATCAGTTTAAGCATAGAGAATTGTAGTATAAAATAATATTTGTTAAAAAAAGCTTTTTTAGTAATACATGTATGTTAGATAACTTCTGATCAGTTTGTATAGAGTAAAGTCCTTAAACCTGTGAAATAGTCATCATACTAATGCACTTTAGTAGACCCTACTTCCATTGTTGTCTTTTGAGTCTATTTGACTACTACGTTGACTAGTAACTTTTATTTCACAGGTTAAATGCCTTCACTCTATTTCCCCTCATTAAATAAAGATTATTGTATTGTTTCATATTAAAGTGTAACATTTAGTAGCTTTTTTCAGTATAATTTTGCTTACAATAGGTTGATTTGTTATATTGACCAAATCCTTCAGGTTGTAGTATTGATGTTGCCCAAAGGCATGGAAAAGTTTGGCTTTTACTTCATCTTCAGCTATCCTGGCCCTCTTTCCTTCTTCCTTCTTTTTCTTATCATAATCAATCTATAGAATGATAAAATACCAATAAGTCAAGAAAAGTTTGCTATTTGCCCCTGGCTGGACACCATCATACACATAGATGCACTTCAGAAAACAATGCAAATGTACAATTGAGGGTTCAAAATTTAATCTCCTGGCTCAAGTTTGGATTATTCACATCCCACTTTTATATATGTCCTACTTACGTTCATTTTATGGTCAGAAACTGGTTTATATGAGCTGGTAACTACTGTCTTAAGCTGTTTGGCCTGCCTCATTGGTTTACTGGCAGTTAGAATGGATTGCCTGCAAAAGTAGTTAAAAACCAACATGTCATTTGTACTATTAAAACGTGACACAAACAGGTGGCACAAAGTGTAGTCTTGTCTTGCAAATACAAAAACAAGACCTGTATCCTACAAGTCATGCATCTTACAACTATGATCCTTGCAGTTAAGACCTAAAGATAGTTTCAAAAAGGTAGTATTCATGTTTGTCTTCTCTGGTTTGTTTTGCTGCGATCTGGTTATGTTTTTCTCAACATTTTGGCAGATCTTGGTCCGTCTTCTTCAGGATCTTGACTGTTTGAATATTCTTGTGATTATTAAGTTCCAGTGGTTGAAGCTCGGACAAGAATGAGTGAAATTTATTCACTGTGTATTGTATGCATTGTTGGGTAGTTATATATGATTTTATTACCTTTTGAGAGATAGGTATTCAGCATTGGAATGAACAGGTCTAAAATCTGCTCTCTGAACCACTTTTCCTTCTAATGAAACCTTATCTGCTGTAATAAGCCAATAAAATAAAATTCAAAGTAGAAATAGAAAATAAGCCTGTTTGCTGTACTGTTATAAGGCACCCAGGCATTGGCATGAAAAAAATAGGATAGCCATTATTGTGGATACAAATGGGGAAATACATGAGCATGTGCTACGCTTTGTCTCATAAAGCATGAGCTTTGATATATGCATAAAGATATGTGTAATACAATATTATATCTGAAAGGATGTTTTCTTGAAGAATAGTTTACTAAATTCCAAATATATTTACCTGGTTCTGACTCATCTGGTTCATCAGCACTTCCTATAATTGACAAAGAATACCGTTCAGTTTTTCTAGTACATAATAGGCCATGTTTGAGATATTAAAATTTTAGCCATCACAATAATGATTATGATTAATATAGCACCCTTCCTATGTATATGATGACGTTTGGAGAGACGGGTTTGCCTTTTAAAGTTTTCATCTGAGACAATTAAAAGGCAGCGCTTTCTCCTCAGTTATTTCAAGGCCCTGAGGGTTGGTCTGGCCAGGACACAAACCACAATCTCCTACATAAAGGTCCGATGCTCAAACTGACTGAGTTTTATTTGGTACAATGTTTTATTGAATCCTACCAATAAATGTTAATGGTGATCCACATTTCATACCATACATGAAGTACCATAATATGACTAAGGCCTTTCGATTGAGTTTGAATTTTAAGATATCGAAAGTGGCCTATTATTTTTCATCCCAGTTCTTACTAATTCACTTTATTACCTGTCGGTCCTTGTGAAAATACTACCAATGACTGGTCAACTTTGGACATTAATAATTTATAATCACTGGGAATTTTGGGCTTTTCATTCCCATCACTTCCACTAGCTAATGACTCGGATAGGTTAAATGTAATCTGTGTGATAAATAAAAAATACAATAAGGGACTGTTTATTTTTAGCAGAGAGGGGGGTGGGGTTTGGGGGGGGGGGGCGCAGTGGGATGTGCCTTTTTGGTTGCGATCCTTACCCCCTCCTCACCCTAAGATCCAAACAGAAATCGCACTCTTGTCATTCATCTTTGAATGAAAGGGGGATCCTGACCTTCATAATCTGCCACTAAAGCATTTCAAACTTACCTCATTCTTTTGTGTGTTTCTACAAAAAAGGTAAAAATAAAAGTCAAGGATTTTTCAAGAATATTTGAACCCACGGGGTTCACATTAACGCACGTGTCATAATGGATAACGTACTTGCTTATTCTCAGACTGCCTACAATGCCTGATTTGTCTGTGTTTTCCATCCATGACGTGGAGAGGTGTTTTGGCACCTTCAAAAATCAAAAATCAAAGGGTTGTATACTAAAGCAAATGAAAAGTATAATCTTGAAGTTTACCTCAATTAAAAGACATTACCTTAACAAGCCATACATCCCTTGATAACCCTGTACAATCAACTTCATTACTGGACGACGCCATCTTGTTTTTATTTTATTTTTGTGGTACGCTAAAGGCCTGGGTACCAAGAGGACTACTGTGCAACCGCCCAGCCACTGGGTACGAGTCAACGTAAAATGGGAAAAGTGCTCTCCCTTTCGGGGGGAAATCGAAGAAATAAATTCAATATTTTAAATAATATCTTTCTTATATTCTTTTATTTATAAAGGCCAAATAAGATAACAAACAGGATTTTTTACGCAAAATTAGTGTCATTATTTGAATATATATCCAACAACACTTATTTTTAACCATCTGGGGGGGACTTTAAAAATGATTAAAACCTTAAAAAATATTTCGAATTACTAGTAATTCTTAGTAGTTAGTTTTCGATTGTTTTTACGTGATAATGTTTCTTGTAGTTAGGCATGAGTGTGCCTTTAAATGAAAAACCCGGAAATTAAACCCTTTAATTGATTAAAATAAAAATTAATTCCTTAAAACGGGCTAAACTAAAAAAATAACCACGCAGAGCGAAAGAAGTGCTATTTCTCAATGATCGGGTAAAATGTCGAGGCTTTATTTCAGTTTCAATGGTTTTATTTAAATTTTTGATGAATCCCCATACATTTCCTTATAACAGTACACCACAGAAACCAAGCTTGGGCTACCTGTGCTTTCGTACGGCTTAAGATAAATGCTTCACTATCTCATTGGATAAAATGTTTTGATTGACAGATGTAAGGGCGTGAAAAACAAAGATTGCTTCCAATTGGATGAGAGCTCTTTATTGGCAATTTATTTCATGTGCAAATAATATTAACCAATAAAAACAGAGGGCGTTTCGATTATAAAATTCCATTGGACAAGACTTCGTGAATGACAGTTGAAAAAGCGCGAATATTAGACAGATTTCATTAGATAAAATGTGTCGCATTATCACGTGCAGATAATAGCCAATCACAATGCATATTATTTTGAAAGTAGTCTAATCTTATTGGCTGGTATTGTTTGACTGACAGTTGATTCATGTGAGGAACGTGGGAATTCATTAGTGAGTTTTCTGGTTTGTGGGGTTTCATAATCAAGTTGACGTGAAGCGAGAAAGTCAGGTATGTACCATTCTATTCCTTCAAAAATTACTTTAAGACTACAAATTTGTCTTGAATTTTTCGCTTTTGCCCATTCAAATGTGTAGCTTTAGACAGGGCCTTGCTAGTTAAAAGATAAAATAGCATTTTTTCTGATGTAAAACCCTTTTTTCTCTTCGGCCAAAAGACACGAGTTCATGACCGGCCGAGTTGGTCTCCGTGAAGTGGGAAAATGCAAATTGTTTTAGAACTTTCTTTACTTTGAACAAAGAACTTAACAATCACTAGTCCTTTAATTGTTTTTTAAATGTTTACGACAAAATGTTTTACGATTTTTGCACCAGGAAGAAAATTTTCATTCACGGTGTCCAATGGAGTGTTCAAAGCAACCACGAGTTACTGTGAAAGACCAAATTCTCTTGCTTTGTACAATTTTCTTAACTTTTTCTGATATTTTTTTTGTAGTTTTAATTATGTATWGTAACTTTTTCGAACGAAAAAAGTATCAAAAAAGATTAAATAAACTTTAAACGTTTTAACTTCAGTTGTTTTCGCGCGCTTTGCAAGTTTTACCCTCCAACTTGGATTCTCGTTTGAATAATAGCCTTTTCGTTGTTCTTTGAATGTAAAATTATTCATTTTGAGTAAATAAACTTATGATTCTCAGTTGTTATTTTAAGTTTTCTAAAAATTTTCAAAAATTTCAACAAATTTCTAACATTTCGCTTTTGGCGCGCTTTTCATGCTGACGAAAGTCGTCTGATAAAGCTCTTAAAACTTTTCAACGCCCGTGTTTATCTAATTATTCTTTCTTACAGTTATGCCAAGAATTTTTTTTTTCTATTTAAATACTGATATATGTTTGTGTGTTTTCCCACAGATCATTAATCATTATAGGAAGTGGCGATAAAGTACTTAGAAGCAAGAAGAAGACTACTGATATGTATCGTAAGACTCGAGTTGATTGTACATGGAAGATCTTGAACAAGTTCAAAGAAAATTAAGTTTCCTTTTATTTATTTGGTTGTGCGTGGCTGGACGTTGTTCTCGATCTTCCTATTGTTGCATTGCAGTTAGTTGGAAAGAGGTGGGGAGAGGCAGTTCCTAAATCAAAAAGGAACTCGTTCAAAAACAGTGAACTCGTCAGGTTTAGTTAGGTCTTTGACTTGCAAACATATGTGAAAAATATTCCGTTATGAATATAAAAATTTGGCTCGTTTGTTGCAAGTCAAAATATGCTCTGCAATGCTTTTTTTTCGATCTAGAAAGTTATTAGGCTAGCAGTAAGAGGGTTCCAGATCCAAGGCTGGACCCAGGGATTATTTGTTTGACAAGAAGCTACCACTATCTTAAAACTAGGTGGGGTATGGCGGATATTAGTGTTTTTGACTGGTCATCTCGACCAGGGTCAATTGGCCAATACTAAGCTAGTTTTTCAAATGAACTTTAGTCACCAAGTTGGACAACACATAACGTCGATGAAGACACAGGATCTACACAAAAGGTGTGAACTTTAGTTTACTGGAGTTCAGGCTTACTTGAGTAACGCTGGCCAGTTCAGATCACTCACTCCCCTCACACAGCGTCTAAGGTTAGATGCCTTCTATTCTTAGCTTAGACTGGCCAATTGCGTGCTCTCGTAAGACTAGGTACAGTCAGGATCACCCGCCGGAGTAATGCCCTCACTTCTCCCTTCGGTTGATGCATGGTTGTGATCAAAAATCCTGACTTGCTGCTCCAGTGTAGTCTTGCTTTTCAGTCGTGGCTCAAGTCTACCAAGAACAGCCAAACTCGGCTGCCTCTAGATGAGAAGACGAGTCTGCGATAGATTTTTGTTTTATCATGCACCGGGCATGCCAGTGGTAGCTTTTTTAGGATAGTGAAATATACTCGGGAAGTTTCATGATTGATGTTCATGCGTGTTTGTTTTTTGTATGTTTCTTGTTTCTTCCACAGATTATATGATAGTTTTAACTACATTAATATTTATTAGTTTAATGCTTTTTGAGCTCTTTTTGAGCTTGTTTTTACTTCGATAGCACATGGTAGTCATCATACTCTTTCATTACTCTCCCATCTTTCCGATACTTCTATCTTTCGAATATATTGTTTTCGACATCAAGTTTAAGGATTCGTTTTGTAGATTCTCAGCTTTTCATTCGATTACTTAATAGGTAAATGACAATAGCAATACATTCGTAGGTGTATGGATCTTGGATATTCCAGCTCTCTCTGAAGTATTTAGTAAACTTCCTTGAGAATCCTGGAATATTCCCTCTTATCTTAGTCTAATCTTATTCGGTAGCATGATGTAATAATAGTTTGGAGGGTGTGGGTCTTGGATATTCCAGCTCTCTCTGAAGTATTCATTTCTTCCTTGAGAATCCTAGAATATCCCCTCTTTTCTTAGTTTAATCTCATTCGGTAGCATGATGTAATAATAGATTGGAGGGTGTGGTTATGGATATTCCAGCTCTCTCTGAAGTATTCATTACTTCCTTGAGAATCCTGGAATATCCCCTCTCTTCTTAGTTTAATCTCATTCGGTAGCATGACGTAATAATAGATTGGAGGGTGTGGTTATGGATATTCCAGCTCTCTCTGAAGTATTCAGTAAACTTCCTTGAGAATCCTAGAATATCCTCCCTTTTTCATACACACATATATACTCTATATTATTATATATAATTATCATACTGCTGACGATGGGCGGGACCTTGGATGTTTCTCTTGTTTTACTATCTACTAAATAAATGATAAGATATAAAGGTATAGAGCTTACTTTATGCTTTTGTATCTAGATTTTATCTTTTACTCTAAACGCTATGTGTTTAGAAAAGTTACAAATAAACAGTTTTCAGACAGTTGTGATTCAAAAGTATACATTTTTATTTATGCTTTTCATTGTTAACCTTTGTTTGACAAATAATCTCTCAAAATTTCAAATGCTAAAATTCTTTTTTTTYCTCTCTCGTATCAGATGGAATAATATGAGGTTTATCTCAGGATTGTTCAAATATTCTTCTTTAACATTTGAAAATTTAAATTTATAGACATTGATCGTTATACAATTCAAATTTAATTTTTGCATTGTTATAGCAATGACTTAATTGAAGACCTTTAATTTTCTTTTTCTTTTTGATTGTTTGTTTCAGGTGAGGAAGAGGAACTTACTAAACCGTTACACTAAATTGTGTCCATTTGTTACTGATTTTAAGAGATATTTCAGCATGCAATGCACTAATATATTTTTTCCTCTTCTTTTTTCAGATCACTCCCTGTTAATATACACGCACACGCAGTTCCATTTATTACAACTTTAACCCTCGAAGGTCGTGCGCTTGCATAAGGTGGAGGACTACGTTTCCAGAGAGATTTTTCGGCTACTCTCTAGTCTCTGGTTTTTCGTAGCTGGCAGCGCAACAATAATTACACACTAGTCATTTTCATTGATAAAGTTTTTAAAAGGATTATTAATTGGCTATTTTTATTTGCTCAATTTGACTTTGTTTTTCTCTGGCACATTTTTTATGTCTTCAGTAAATAAAATCTAAATCACTCGTTATTGATTGCGACTTGCCCTCCTAATGGTATAAAAGTCTGAGTCTTTTGGATTGCAACAATTTCGAAGATGCCTTATTGAAGTTACGTTTTCAGCGACACCATTTTCAGTAAAGCCATGCATGCCCAACTTTAAGGACGTTTTTAGAGTATAAAAATAAAAAATGTGAAATAATTTGCACACACCCCTTTTGGCATTTTTATTTTTATATTTTATAGCGTGCAATAAGTTAGGCGTAGCCAAGTTTTGGTTTTTCAATGAATCAGCGTCGACTTTTGGTTTTTCAACAAACAAGTCAAGCTTTTTTGGTTCTTCAATCAACGTTTTTGGTATCAACGTTTTTGGTTTCTCGACAGATGCGTCAGCAAAGAATTCGTGCTTTTTTTGGTTCTTCAACATGCGTCACGAACATTTTTGGTGTTTCAA